AACTTGTGAGAACTTCATATTAAGTCGTGGGAACGTGATTATAAGTCGTGGCCACGAGATCATTTTGTTGAGGTAACGACATCATTATGTCGTGGCCACGCGATGCAAAGTCGTAGCCTCGAGTTATGTTGAGGAAGCCACAGCGGCCAATAGGCTACTGTAACCGTACCATAGACTGGGCTACAGCAGAGATGGAGATGACAGAAGATATAACATTTTACTTTAAATTAGGAATGTCATATAAAGATATAGTGCGGTCTTTGGCATTAAGACATGGGTACGTTATAAGTGAAAGTGAATTCTTATTGAATGGGCTTTTTTGTCGCACGTTTGCACTGGCATGAAGTGGGTTTGACGTTGGACGATTGATATTCGCATATTTAGGGACCGTCTCAAAATTACATGCGACATTGGCATAAACGTTTCTAACTTCAATAGCATTTGAAGACAATGACTTACAGTCATAAAACCAACTGTACATTGTTCACCCAGGTCTCATGTATGATGCACACCTTTTAGATTGTTGATATTTATGACAATAAACTGTTAAATCATATGCAAATATCGCTGTGTATTTCACTAGTGTATGGGATCATACACAAAATATGACAATATTTAAAGCTCAATAGCATTTGAAGACAATGACTTACAGTCATAAAACCAACTGTACATTGCTCATCTAGGTGTCAGGTATGTGACAGTAGTGAAATACATAGCAATATTTGCATATGATTTAACAGTTTATTGTCATAAATATCAAAAAAAATATTAAAAAGGTGTGCATCATACATGAGACCTGGGTGAACAATGTACGGTTTTATGACTGTAAGTCATTGTCTTCAAATGCTATTGAAGTTAGAAACGTTTATGCCAATGTCGCATGTAATTTTGAGATGGTCCCTAAATATGCGAATATCAATCGTCCAACAACAAACCCACTTCATGCCAGTGCAAACGTGCGACAAAAAAGCCCATTCAATTTAAGAATGCGCTTCAGGTTTCTTTCACTTATAACGTACCCATGTCTTAATGCCAAAGACCGCACTATATCTTTATATGACATTCCTAATTTAAAGTAAAATGTTATTTCTTCTGTCATCTCCATCTCTGCTGTAGCCCAGTCTATGATATGGTATGGTTACAGTACAGTATTTGCCGCTGTGGCTTCCTCAACATAACTCGTGGCCACGACAAATAGATCTCGTTCTCTCAAAATATGAAGTTGTGGCCACGAGAAAAATATATCGTTCCCTCAACATATGATCTCGAGGCTACGACTTTGCATCGAATGGCCACGACATAATGATGTCGTTACCTCAACAAAATGATCTCGTGGCCACGACTTATAATCACGTTCCCACGACTTAATATGACGTTCCCACGACTTAATATGACGTTCCCACGAGATATTATCACGTTCCCACGAGTTTATATGTTGTGGCCACGACAAAAATAAGTGAACCGAACATGTCCCCTCCCGGTCACCGTAAATTTTAACTGACAGAACAGAGCGGGAGATTTTCTGTGAGTAATCAGTTAAATTTAGATTTGTTCCTCACACAGACCTGTTTTATGTCTTCAGAAGACTTGTAACTACACACCACGAAGCAAATGAATGACTTTTATGGTACTTTATTCGATCTGGACAGCAGTGCCCAGCCAGCACAGCCATATGGGGCCCACATGGGTTTGACCTGGGCTATCTAACTGGGACCCAGACAGTTTTGTCCACGGTTTCCATGTAGGCCCCACATGGGTTTGCCCAGATGAAATGAACACTGCTCAGTGTGCACACAACAGGCCGTTAAATGTAACACATATCAGTGTTGGAGTTAATGAGATAATTAATTGATATAATGATTGAGCATTATTGTTAACAAGCAGAATCATTGAAGGAAAGAGAAACACAATAACTACTTCCAGCCACAGCCTTAGATGAAATCAACTGAAGATAAAATACACGAAATCTCTCAAGATCTGATTAAACAACTCCACAAACATTATTACCAGCTTCACTTATTACTAACCAGACTGACTTTATTTCTGTCAGACGTCTACAGACGCTCTTATTGAGAATTAACAGAGGTTAAGATGTTGATGATTTATTGAAAATAATAGTTTGGTTTGATGTCACCATTATGGTGTTTGCTTTAGTTGGGCTCTTGACTTTTTAACATTAGTATTTCTCTGTTCAGTTGTATCTGATTGTTATGTTGAGAACAGCAAGAGAAAATGCAATCAGATGCTATGAGCTGATTGATTATTAGAATATAATCATCATGTAGTGGCTTAACTCACTAATATTGTGTTTTTTTTTTTATACTTATATTTTTTGTTTGTTTTTTAACAAGAAAAAAAAAAAAAAAAAACAGACAGACAGACCAAGGGACATCAGGCAAAATCCTCATAAATTAACAGAAGTGCTCAACATCATGTAAACAGAAAAGGAAAAATAAATTAATAAAAATAAATAAATAAAATAAAGGCATATACATCTCAGTTTGTATTCAGATAAGATATCCATTTTTCCCAATATGCTTCACATTTCTTTCGGGCATGTCTCAGAGAGAAAGTCAAATGTTCCATAACGTAAATTTCTCTAACTATTTCTATCCATTCAGTCATAATTGTCGGGGAATCTTTACTTAGCCATTTCCTAGTTATTGCTTTCTTGCCACCTGCTATAAGTATTTGTAACAAATATCTATCTGCCTTTCTCAGCCCTGTTGGAAGATTTCCTAAATATATAACACTGAAATTAGACTCAAGATCTGAACCGACTATTGACCTAATTGCCTTCACCACCTCTATCCAATACAGAGAAATAATAGGGCATTCCTAAAAAATATGAAAATGACCAGCAGACATATTACCACACATTCTCCAACACTGACCATGATCAGGATTATTACTCTGTGACTTTTTTATGTTAGGGGTTATAAAGAATCTTAAAGTGTTTTTCAGGTGAATTCCCTCCACAGACCTGAGCTAGAAGTGGTAGATTGTGTCCTACATATATTCGACCATTCATTTTCGCTTATCTTTATTTTAGCTTCTTTCTCCCACCTCTTTTTTACATACATTGTTGAAAGTCCCCTGTCCAATTGTAAACATGAATATAACCTGGAAATCAATTTCCTGTTGGTATTACCCTTATATGCATCAATGAATACTTTAATCAGGTCCTTTCCCTTCTCTCCAGTAGTTTTAATATGTTTATCAAAGTGGTGTCTCAGTTGAAGGTATCTGAAAAAATCTTCCTTCCCTAAATAGTATGTCTCTATGAGTTTTTTGAAAGTATACAAACCATCAGTGGAGGATATTATACAGTATGAAGTGATACCTGAATTAGTCCAGTGTTTGAATCTACCGTCCAGTCCAGCTGGTACGAATTCTGTATCGTATTTCACCCAACGTAATATTCGTGCATTTCCTTCAAATTCCTTATTTTTAAGTAGTTTGTGCCAGATGTTAAGAGGGACTGCCATCCACTTACTTAATTTATCCAGATGCTTTTTCAGGACAGTTTTTTCACCTAGTATAGATTGGAGAGGTATGTTTATTTGACTTTGCTCTAGTTCCTTCCATTTTGCATCACACACGGGGTCACACCAACAGACCAAAGAACGTAACTGTGCTGCTCTATAATAATCTTCCAGGCACGGTAGGGCCATACCACCTTTGTCCTTGGGGAGTTGTAATGTTTGAAATCTAATCCTTGGTTTTTGGTTTCCCCAAATAAAAGATGAGATAGTTCTATTCCAATCACCGAATTGTTTGGGAGGCACTTCAACAGGCAATGATTGAAAAAGAAAAAGCAGCCTGGGTAGTATATTCATCTTTATAGCATCTATTCTATTGTACAAATTCATTGGTAATACTGGTTTAAGTCTGCTTTAATATCAGCTGTTATAGGAATGTAATTGTGGTCATAAATGGCCGAGATCTCTTTAGGTATTTGTACCCCTAAATATTTAATTGTATTACCTTTCCATTTAAATTGGCAGATTTTATAAATATTTTCTTGTGGTTCGTAGTTGAAAGTAAGCGTTTGAGTTTTATGCAGGTTTAGTTTATAGCCGGAATATGAACCAAATTGTTTAAGAAGAGATAATAGTTTAGCACTCGCACATACATATAAACCCGCTAATTGCTCTGTTCAACTTACTCTAAAGTGCAAAATGTTAAGAGCGCAAAGTATTTTGGGGTAAAAACATTACAAGGATTCACTCTTATATATAACGAACCTATAAAGATTTGGTTATACATTTAGAATGAAAAATAAATTATGTAAAAAACAATTATCTTATGTAAAACGTATTTTTTTTGTTTCTGTCAAGTTTTCTGCGGACTTCTAGCGGCCTCTTGTGGCTCAAGTGCACCTGTAATAATACTAATTATAGTTAAGGTTTCAGTGCATGTCACAATGTTTTGTTGAAATCATTTTTTTTTGTGGGATTACTTATAGGATATTGTTTATAATATTTTAATGTTCAGCAATACCAATTGTAAAAGCTGTCTCAAGGTTTAGGTAATTGCCAGTCATGTGTCATGCATTGTATGTGAGACTGAAAGGCCAAGCAACTGAGAGTTGTGCACGTTTATAGCGCCCTCAGGTGGCATTTGTAATTTGTCATGTCAGTTTAACAACTTCAGTGTAGAAATGAATGGTTTCTCAAGGTAAATACTGTCATAGTATGTTTTGATTTATAAATTCATTTAGTAGTTGCACAGTTTACAGAATATTCAGCAGCATGTTATCTGCACAATGTTCTGTATCAACGCTTTCAAAGAAAGTCAAAGAAACAAGTGTGAAGTTTTCATGTCATTGTGTATTTTGTGTGTTTGAGAAGTTAAAGTATAATACATGTCATGTGGGCATATAATCATCAGATCAATAGAGAAACTAAACCGTATCCAGAAAGTCACAGCTGCAGTCACATGACCATATGAGTTTTTCAACAGGAGGTTTTGCAGAAAGAGCGGCAGTTTCACTCTGCCGTTCAGAGAGAAGACAGCGGAGAAGCCTGAGAGACGACGACACAATCACAATGATTTCAACACAGAGAGGTCTGTATAAACCTTTTCACAACACTGATACTTCTATTTCTTTACTGTTATATTATGTATTTGACTAATTTGTGGTGTTTTTAGTAATTATCAAACAATAATGGCTTGTTTTATAATTGTCTTAAATCAACAATACACTTTTAATAATACTAGTATCCAAACAATATGTTTGGCAGTGGTTACACTTTTTTACACTTACACTTAACACTAATAAGTCCAATGCTGTATGCTTTGTCATTTCAAAACGAATGTATATATTATTGATAATGTTGTTGTGCATGGCAAATGTTGACTGGACCTGATAGCACAGATTTGCAAAAGGAGAGAGATTCAAGCAAAAAAGGGCCATTTACACAGCAATTATATTGAGTTAAGAAAGGAATATTATAGGAAATGTAAAGAAGACAAACCAAAAAAAGCTGCAAAATTTCCAGTGTATAGTAAAGTTTCAAAGAAAAGCCTATTTCCGCATGATTGGTGTTATATGTTGTCCTTTTTCTGTTATATATATTTTTTGTATTCTCTGAGGACAGACTATATAGTGAAACATTATTAGTTTAAATTGTTTCTTTTAAACTACTCTATTGAGTTCCAGTAATTATGTTAATATCAGCATTTATACTTTAAAAATTAATCAAAATTATAACTAGATGGGTCTTAATACAAATGTTTCTTTACATTTGATTCACATTAATGTATGTTTCACAGCAAAAACACCAGTGTTAAATGAACTCTCCTGAGAGTTTATATGGCTCCAGACTAGGGCTGGGCGATATATCGCACGATATTGCTATGCGCATCTAATCAGTAAAGCCAGTTCCTTGATTAGTAGTAAATCACCTTCACCTGCTTTCAGATGGAGCGGCATTTACTTCAAAGAGCCGTAGTTAACTGACAAGCTGAGCCAAATCGCACTAATATCACGGACGTATCGCCAGCGATATTTAATGCGATATGGCTCAGCTTGTCAGTTAACTACGGCTCTTTACACAGCAAAAACTCCAGTGTTAAATTAACACTCCTGGGAGTGTATATGAGTCCACACTCAAGAGTGTTAAAGTTAATGAGATAATTAAGTTATTAATTGAGTGATGATTGAGCATTATTGAAGACACCTAAAGCAGAATCACTGAAGGAGAAAACCGGAATTTCAGGTCACCATTATGGAGATGAGTGTTTGCTTTAGTTGGGCTCTTGACCCTTAAATTCATAACTTTAGATTTTGGTCGGCCGTTGTATCTGAGTTATACCTGCAAGATGAACAAAGAAAAACAATGATCTAATGGTATTGATTATATTATGACATTCATCATTTGAGCTAATTGTTTGTGATTTAAGTTGTTGGTTACAGCATAACTGAGATTCTGCATAAATATCCAGAATTTGTGATATAATATAAAGGATTTCTTAAAAGTAAAAAAAAAAAAAAATCTGTCTTTTAGGCACACACAGATATCACGATTCAGTCAATGCATCTCAACAATGGTGATGAGCAGAATATTCAATTAGGAAAAGTAAATTACATAGACAATTCAGATCATAATTTATTCATACCGCAATGCATGATGGGAGCCATTAATGAGTTGTGATTGGTGGCAACAAGGATTATTATTGTCACCACGGTTGAGATTCACAGGCTGATTATTGATGTCTGTGTTTCTAATTAAAAGCATTTGAAAGTGATTTGACCAGAACATTTTTTATTAACTAGTTTGGATTATAAGAAACATACAATTATCATATGCTGTAGGACCACTAAACTGTTGCTATCAAGTTAAACCAGATCATCTGAATGAGTTTCATTTTTCAGATCACAGCATGATTATGGCAAAACATCGCACAGTGATCAAAGCATAATCTGAAGTTGTAGATTAATCGCATGATATTGTTATGCGCATCTAATCAGTAAAGCCGGTTCCTTGATTAGTAGTAAATCACCTTCACCTGCTTTCAGATGGACGACATGATGCAGATATGAGTGTTAAATTAACACTCAAGAGTGTTAAAGTTAAAGAGATAATTAAGTGATTAATTTAGTGATCATTGAGCATTATTGAAGACACCTGATGATAACAAGCAGAATCACTGAAGGAGAAAATCTAAAATTGTAAGCCACCGTTATGGCGATCAGTGTTTGCTTTAGTTGGGCTCTTGATCCTTATACTTTAAGTTTAAATTTTGTTTGTCTGCTGTTATTGATTTATAACAGTTAAATAAACAAAGAAAAGTGTGATCTGTTAGTGTTTTTTATGTTTTGACATAATCATGCTGTGATTTTAAAAGTGAAATTCAATCAGATGATCTGGTTTAACTTGATAGCAACAGTTTAGTGGTTCTACAGCATATGATAATTGTATTTTTCTTATAATCCAAAACATTTAATAAAAATTGTTCTGATCAAATCACTTTCAAATGCATTTATTTAGAAACGCAGACATCAATAATCAGCCTGTGAATCTCAACCGTGGTGACAATAATAATCCTTGTTGCCACCAATCACAACTCATTAATGGCTCCCATCATGCAATGCGGTATGAATAAATTATGATTTGAATTGTCAATGTAATTTACTTTTCCTAATTGAATATTCTGCTCGTCACCATTGTTGAGATGCATTGACTGAATCTTGATATCTGTGTGTGCCTAAAAGAAAGATTTATTTATTTTTTACAACTTTTAAGAAATCCTTTATATTATATCTCAAATTCTGGATATATATATGCAGAATCTCAGTTATGATGTAACCAATAGCATAAATCACAAACAATTAGCTCAAATGATGAATGTCATAATATAACCAACACTATTAGTTTTTTTTTTTTGTTGTTTTTTTTTGTTCATCTGGCAGGTATAACCCGGATACAACAGCTGAACAAATTATAAAGTTAATAATATAAGGGTCAAGAGCCCAACTAAAGCAAACACTCATCTCCATAATGGTGACCTGACATTCCGGTTTTCTCCTTCAGTGATTCTGCTTTAGGTGTCTTCAATAATGCTCAATCATCACTCAATTAATCACTTAAATATCTCATTAACTTTAACACTCTTGAGTGTGGACTCATATACACTCCCAGGTGTGTTCATTTAACACTGAGTTTTTGCTGTGTACAAAGAGCCGTAGTTAACTGACAAGCTGAGCCATATCGCATTAAATATCGTTGGTGATATGTCCTCGATTTTAACGCGATTTGGCTCAGCTCGTCAGTTAACTACGGCTCTTTGTAGTAAATGCCGCTCCATCTGAAAGCAGGTGAAGGCGATTTACTACTAATCAAAGAACCGGCTTTACTGAAGAGACACGCATAACAATATCGTGCGATATATCGCCCAGCCCTACTCCAGACTCAAGAGTGTTAAAGTGTTAAAATATGAGTGTTAAATTAACACTCAAGAGTAATAAAGGTAATGAGCTAATTAAGTGATTCATTGAGTGATGATTGACCATTATTGAAGACACCTGATGTTAATAAGCAGAATCACCAAAAGAGAAAATAATTTTTTAAGCCACATTTATGGTGATCAGGGTTTGCTTTAGTTGGGCTCTTGACCCTTAAGCAGTTAGGATAAGTTTTTGTTTGTTTTATATGAGTTATAACTGTCAGATATTCAAAGAGAAAATGTAATCTCATGGTGTTTGTGATTATTTGACATAATCATTACTTGACCTGCATCACAAAACCCATTTTGAGAATTTTTTTTAAGTTATTCTTTAGAAAGTGATGGTCAGTATTTACAATGTAATCCAAATTATTTCTTAAAAGTTGTTCTGATCAAAAGACTTTTATTTAGACACACTGACATCAATAATCAGCCTGTGAATCTCAACAATGGTGACAATAATAAAGGATGTTCAGTGCATTCTGGGTGCCACCAATCAAAACCCAATCATAACTCCCATCATGCATTGCGGTATTAATAAATTATGATCTGAAATGTCTTAGTAATTTTTCCTAATTGAATATTCTGTTTGTCACCATTGTTGAGATTCATATACTGAATCTTGATGTCTGTGTGTGCCTAAAAAATATATATATATTTTTTATAATATATATATATATATTTATATATATAATATATAATATATATATATATATAATATATATAAATATATTTTTTATCAGAACAACTGTTAAGAAATCTTTTGGATTATTTAGAATAGTCTTTATCTTGTCCTGTAGAATCACTGTGATGTTATAACCAACAATATACATCAGTGGTTCCCAAACCTGTCCTGGCGGCGAATTTTTTTTTGCAGGGTGGTAGGAGAAGAATCATTAATATTCATTGGGGAACTCATCCGCAATTGGTTCGCTGTCACACGTCACTCAGATTGACATGGCAGGTCAAGACGGTGTCCCCGCAAAGATACAGAAGTTCGCGAAGTTCGTGAGCGGTCTCCGCACAAATCTCCCGGATTTGGATAACCAAATGTTGACAGGTATGACTTACCTTCGTGAAAGTGTCTGTTGTCACGAAGGAGACGATGTCTGTTTTCTCTATCACATCTCATTAGAGATGCGTCACGGCAAGCCAATCAGGGACGAGTTCCCCAATGAATATTAACGAGTCTTCCCCTACCACCCTGCAAAAAAAAAAATCGCGTCCTGGCGACCCACCAACACTGCACGTTTTCTTTGTCTCCCTAATCAAACACACCTGATTCAACCCATCAGCTCATTATCATATGGGTTAATGAGCTAATGAGTTGAATCTAGAGCTGGGCGATATATCGCATGACATTGTTATGTGCATCTCTTCAGTAAAGCCGGTTCCTTGATTAGTAGTAAATCACCTTCACCTGCTTTCAGATGGAAGATATGATGCAGATATGAGTGTTAAATTAACACTCAAGAGTGTTAAAGTTAATGAGATAATTAAATGATTAATTGAGTGACAATTGAGCATTATTGAAGACACCTGATGTTATCAAGCAGAATCACTGAAGGAGAAAATAACAAATTGTAAGCCACCGTTATGGTGATCAGTGTTTGCTTTAGTTGAACTATTGACCCTTATACTTTCACTTTACATTTTTTTTGTCTACTGTTATTGATTTATAACAGCCAAATGAACAAGGAAAAGTGTGATCTGATAGTGTTGGTTATATTTTGGCATAATCATGCTTTGATCTGAAAAATGAAACTTAATGAGATGATTTGGTTTAAATTGTTAGCAACAGCTTTGTGATTCTACAGAATATGATTATCAGTATTTTTCTTATAATCCAAAATATTTAATTAACATTGCTCTGATCAAAACACTTTCAATTGAATTTCTTTAGAAACGCAGACATCAATAATCAGCCTGTGAATCCCAACAATGGTGACAATAATAATAATTGTTGCAGTGGGTGCCACCAATCACAACTCATTAATGGCTCCCATCATGCATTGCGGTATGAATAAATTATAATCTGAATTGTCTATGTAATTTATTCTGCTCGTCACCATTGTTGAGATGCATTGACTGAATCTTGTCGTCTGTGTGTGCCTAAAAGAAAGACTTTTTTTAAACAACTTTTAAGAAATCCTTTATATTATATCTTAAATTCTGGATATTTATGCAGAATCACAGTTATGCTGTAAGCAACAGCATAAATCACGAACATAAAGTTCAAATGATGATTGTCATAATACAACCATCACCATTAGATCACTTTTGTTCTTTGTTGATCTGGCCGTTATAACTCAGATACAACACACAAACTAAATCTAAAGTTAATAATATAAGGGTCAAGAGCCCAACTAAAGCAAACAATGATCGCCATAACGGTGGCTTACAATTTTAGATTTTCTCCTTCAGTGATTCTGCTTTAGGTGTCTTCAATAATGCTCAATCATCACTCAATCAATCACTTAATTATCTCATTAACTTCAACACTCTTGAGTGTGGACTCATATACACTCCCAGGAGTGTTAATTTAACACTGGAGTTTTTGCTGTGTACAAAGAGCCGTAGTTAACTGACAAGCTGAGCCATATCGCATCAATTATCGCTGGCGATATGTCCGCAATATTAATGCGATATGGCTCAGCTGGTCAGTTAACTACGGCTCTTTGAAGTAAATGCCGCTCCATCTGAAAGCAGGTGAAGGTGATTTACTACTAATCAAGGAACCGGCTTTACTGACGAGATGCGCATAGCAATGTCATGCGATATATCGCCCAGCCCTAGTTGAATCAGGTGTGTTTGATTAGGGAGACAAAGAAAACGTGCAGTGTTGGTGGGTCGCCAGGACAGGTTTGGGAACCACTGATATACATTATAAGTCAGAGGTTGGGGTTTTGTGACGCAGGTCAAGTGATGATTATGTCAAAACAAAACCAAAGCCATCAGATCATATTTTTTTCTTTGATCTTCTGGCAGTCACAACTCACATACAACAGCCAAACAAAATCTAATGTTAATAGTTCAAGGGTCACGAGCCCAACTAAAGCACACACACTGATCATCATAATGGTGACTTAAAATTTAGATTTTCTCTTTTGGTGATTGTGCTTGTGAACATCAGGTGTCTTCAAAAATGGTCAGTCATCACTCAATGAATCATTTAATTAGCTCATTAACGTTAACACTCTTGATTCTGGAGCCATATAAACTCCCAGGAGAGTTCATTTAACACTGGAGTTTTTGCTGTGTGTTAAGACTTTCTTTTCTTTTTTTTTTTGTAGTGCGTGATCTGAGGATTGTTCTTCTGGGTAAAAGTGGATCAGGAAAAAGTGCCACAGGAAACACCATCCTGGGCAGAGACGCATTTGAAGTTGTAGATTTTATAAACTCAGCCAATAAATTGTGTGAGAAACACGAAGGAAAAGTGGATGGAAAGACCATCTCTATAATTGACACTCCAGGACTATTTAATACAGCTGTGACAAAACAGCAACTGAAGAATGAAATACAAAAGTGTATATTCATGTCTGCTCCAGGTCCTCATGTGTTTTTGCTGGTGCTAAAGCTGGGTGTGAGATTCACAGAAGAGGAGAGAGACGCAGTCAAATGTATTAAGGAGAACTTTGGAAAAGAAGCTTTGTGTCGTACTATCATTCTGTTCACTCACGCTGATCAGCTAAAGGGAAAGCCTGTGGACGAGTACATCAATAAAAGCAGCAATTTAATGGAAATCGTTGACAGCTGTGGAGGCAGATATCACTCATTCAACAATGAGGACAGAAAGAGTCAAGAGCAGGTCGCAGAACTGATGAAAAAGATTGATGCAGTGATGGAAGAAAATGAAATGAATCATTACACTCTTGAGATGTTTAATACAACTCAGAAAAAGAAAGAGATAAAAATGGCAAAGGCTGCATGTGGCATTGCAGTGCTGGGAATTGGATTTCTAGGGTCAGTGAAAATAGCAGGCATGATAGCAACAGCAATTTCAGGAGGAGCAGTTGTAGAAAAAACTGCATTAAGTGCGTTGGCAGCCACAGGAGAAGCTGTAGATAAAGTTGTAGCTGGTATAGAAAAAGGATTAACAACTGCAAGTGAAGCAGTTACAAAAAAAGCAGTAGCAGCTGTAGAAAAAGCAGTAGAAAGTGCAGGAGAAGCAGCTGCAAGAAAAGCAGTAGCATCTTTAGAAAAAGCAGTAGAAACTGCAGGAGAAGCAGCTGCAGCTAAAGCAGTGTCATCTATAGAAGCAGCAGCCGGAGAAGCAGTGCAGACATCTGGAGCAGGAGCAGGAGTCGCAGGTACGGCTCTGGTATCAGCGATGTGCGCAGGAGCAGCGAGAGCGGTAGCAGCTGCAGGGAAAGTGGCCACATCTGGAAGAGTATCTGTAGTGGCTGCAGTGGCAGCAGCATTTGGAGGTGCAGCTGTTATATTAATATCAGCACTCAAAAAATAAACATGTTTATCAGGTACTTACAACTCTTAAATGTTAGATTTGTATTGGTCTTATTTGACTGGGTTTTTCACATTGAACACAAGGTTATACATGTATGGCTTATAAACCTGTTCTCATGAAATGTTTCTCTATAGCACGCATTGTGTTTAGTGTGCAATTCATACGCGGAAATGACTTTTTAACATTCATACGATACACTGTTAGCAATTGATGTAATTTTTACAATAAATTTTACAACATCATTTTGTATTCGTGTTTTTATTGTAAATGCAAATGCATGATGGGAAATGTATGGACAGTCCTGTAATTTTATTGTAACTACCCTGTAGAAGCATTATTTTACAGCCACCGCATAGCATTGTGGGATCGCTGCTGTTTGAATTTTGAAATTGTGCACCAGAATCAAACATTTTTGGAAGAAGGAACACATCTCAGGTTCTAAACGTTAACATGAAATCTATTTTATAAGTCTATGGATATATTAATACCGGATCCGGTGATACACAGCAAAATCCCCAGTGTTAAATCATGGTCCCACTCTACAGAGTGATAAAGTAACACTGAAGCAGTGTTAAAGTTAAAGGAGCTGTATGTAAGATTGTGGCCAAACCTGGTACTGCAATCACTTTCAAATTACTGTAGAGTGGTGTATCCCCTCCCCCTCCCCCCTGACTCGAGGTTGCCAGATAGGCTGCAGGATCCAGCAGGAATGTGACGAGCTGCAGCTGTGGTAACTAAAGCAGATCTGGCAACCCGGATGCCGCAACACTACTGACTTCGTGATTGGTAGATAGGTGGACGGTGGAGCATCAGACCAAAACACAACATGACCACATCAACATCAGTTGAGGGCTGCAACTGCACTTTTTAAATGACAATATCCTGGCTGGACTACTGTTGTCAGTGATATAAGTATTTAAAATGTACATGATTTCTTAATGTCTAGTGACATATCAGGGCCATTTTATGATTAATTGAAATACATTTCTTACATACAGCTCCTTTAATTAGATAATTAAGTGACTAATTGAGCGATGATTGAGTATTAGTGATGAACACCTGCTGTTAACAAGCAGAATCACTGAAGGAAAGAGAAACACAAGAACTACACAGCAAAATCCCCATTGTACATATGTACACTCTCGGTGTACATATAGGTCCAACTACAGGGTGTTAAAAATGAACACTGAAGCAGTGTTGAAGTTAATGAGATAATTAAGCGATTAATTAAGTGATGATTGGCCATTAGTGGTGACAACTAATGTTAACCCCCTGGGGTCGGCTATCGCGCCGGCGCGATTGTCTCGCTTTTTTTCTTATCAGTGTAAAAGAGACTCAAAATACTCGGTTAATTTTGATCTTACATATAAGTGTTGTACATCATTAGATCCTGTTAAGTTTCTATTTTTTTTGTGGATACTCACAATAAAATCAAAGTGTTGTGCTTTTCACCAAATAAAGAAAAACAAACATGATGCGAGTTCTGCGTTCTCTCTGTCAGTGAAGTCCATTCTGAAACGCGTCCTAAGATTAACTGTAACTCCGCGATTACTTGTCACACAGGCACGAGAGGTTTTTCTTTATGAAGCTTAAATTCTCTTCTTTTAAATGAAGTAATTTATATAAAAAACAAATATTCTCAGTTTATGCAATCTGCATGAAAAGAGAGTGTTGTCAGTATTTTTTTCCCCAGCTCATTACACTTCATTACGCGTTAATCTGACACGCCCACGGAGGACGCGCGCTATTCAAACGCAAATGTCGAGGCAAGCCATGACAATGCCCACATCAGCCGTTCCACCGCGGCGGTAAAATGTGTGGTGTATTTGCTGCCTTTTACCGCTAAGAGGCGCTACAATCATAGACTCTGAAAAGTGTTCGTTTATTCCGGTTTATTCTCTCTAATGCGTAATCTGCTGCCGCACCGCGCTGATTCAGAGCGATTGAAAGCTGGTAGCAGAAGAATTCAACAAGTGAAACGTAGTTAAAATAATTCATAATCACAATACTGAAATTAGGCTACTGAAATGTAATTGAATAAATAATGAAAACATTTCAAAATAAAACATTGCAATAAAAACATTTAGGCTACATGAATGAGGCTTTACAACTTTAACAGCATACAGAAGACAGCTCAGTGATCAACGCAACGACACAAGCTTCGAGGAGCTTCATTCGACCCGAGATCGAATCTCAATGTAGCATACATGTTGTTAACCGATGTTGTCCTACGTTTATATTTTCCCACCTTGATGCTTAAATAGGTAACTGTTTATATCTGTTTACTTATTTAAAGTCAAGAGTTTTGTTTGATTATCATTACAACATAAATTTGCTACATTCCTGTAGAACCGCAGCCGCTGCACAAACGACAAAAACTGATGAAGGAAGATTGTCAGCCGATTGCATCAGAAAATGAAAATGAAGAAGCTCGTCTTTAGTCTGCTAAATTATTGTGTAATGTAAAAGAACACTAAAATTACTTAAGTTTGAAACCAAGTTCGAACATTTCAAGGTTTAAATTGTTTAATGTAAAACAGGGTTGCATCTTGTTTAGAGTTTATTTCTTTTGCGATGCAAAATAAGAAACACTAGGCTAATCTTATTCTTGCGACATTTTAAATTTGTATTGCCAAAGAAATTACAGCTAAATTAAACAATTAAAACAGTAGGCCTACAAAACGAAAATTGTCCAAAGAAACATAATTAAATTAAAAACATGCGTTTCTCTTTGCCTCTCTCGCGCTGGATCTCTTTTTAACAAGTTTATTTAGTCTCCCTCGCTGCGCGCGGGTCTCTCTCTCGAAATTAAACATTTCAGGGTAAAAACCACATCATACAGCTGATAATACTGTATATGTCGCTGCGTGTCAGCCATACAAATCACGAAAAAATTATTTAACCTTTAATTGTTGCTTCAAAGACACAGCATGCCTTGTTGAATTCACCTTACAATAACTTCAATTGAAATTTTGTGTGAAAAAAACTTTAAATAGGCTACAATAAATAAACTACAATATTTATAATTTAATAAGATATGGGGTCTACATTTGGACACAGATTTATCCTTACAATAATTTTGCCTGCTCATCAGGCTGGCTATCCGACACTCTCCATATGAAAGAGGAACATTAACACCTTTGTCCAGCAATGTCCCTCCAACCCCCCACAGGCTATCTGAGTCTGAGGCTGACTTAACACAAAGAGAAGTCGCAATTCACACTTAAATCGCCATTCTAGACAGTGTTGATAATGAAGGAATTAAATGATTTAAGTTACATGTAGCCTAGTGATATTTTTGTCACAAAAGTTTATTACTAAATATTTCATTATTTCAATAGTTGATGAAATAAAACTGGTTTGGGCCAGGTTTTTCCAAGCAAAACTAAATATAATCTGAAAAAATTGCATGTTAATTTGTTGTCATGAACAAAATGTTCAACTCAATATTAAATTCTACAGGGATCTTTGGATCCTTACAAGGCATGCAATTTGTGAATTAAGTTTTTATTTTATTTTGTATTATTCAAATAAATATCGAAACACGGTGCTTCGTGGTAATGCTGCTAAATTAAATAACATTTATAGAATAATTATGAACTTAAATGAAACAATATCGCAACATTTCGACAAATACATTATTTGATTTGTTTTTACATTTTAATTCAGGGCGATTTAGCCTACATAGAGCGAGATTTTCACCCTTGTCTTGTCATTTTCTCATTGGGAAGCGCTTACATAGCATGTTTGAGTAGATCCTCTGTAGGCCTACACTGTTTTTGTCGTTAGCCTATATGAATACAAGTTTACAGTTTTGAACGATGTAAGCCTACTCTTATCTGTATGACCAAAAAATTACGGGGGGGATTAAAATAATTCAGCAGAAGCAGGGATGTTTAGACCAGAAGGAAATCCTAGTCCCCCCTGGCAAATCACACTTTACTTAAAACCATGTTTTTAAAAACTCTAGGTTGTACCCAGATAGCAACATTGTTTCGGCCCAGATCCGGCCCACATCTGGCACTTGTGGGATGCGGATCTGGCCCACATGCAGCGTGGAATGACGGCCCTTGGGTGGCCCACTCCTGTTTGCCAGATCTGGGCCACAAGCAGGCCATAGCAATGCCACATGTCAGCCAAGAGCAAAGAAATAAACCAGAACTGGACTTTATCTAAACCACAAAACCTGTGTATATTAAATGTGGAGTCATCTCAAGCCTGTTCACTGAAGAATCACTGAAGGAAAGAAGAGAATAGAAAAAGAGGGGAGCAGAAACACAATAACTACAACTGACTTGAGACACAGTCTTAGATGAAATCAACTGAAGAGAAAAGAAGACATTACATCTGAAGATCTCAGCAGAGGAGGATTAAACAACTCCACAAACAGCATTACCAGCTTCACTTATTACTAACCAGACTGACTTTATTTCTGTCAGACTTCTACAGAAGTTTTTATTGAGAATAAACAGAGGGTTAACTCTATTATGTGTCATTTTAAGTCACCATAACAGTGATTAGTGTTTCCATTAGTTGGGCTCTTAACTCTTAATGTTTTGTAATTTTTTGGCCGTTGTGACAGTGTGTTTAGTCAAATACATTTGCAGCAGCAAAGAAAGCTTAAGTGAAATGAGATCATGTTATAATTGTTACCTGTTGATGGTTTTATAATCATCATGAAATAACTTGAATCACTGATGTCTTTGGAATCTAACAATTGTGTTGATCCATTAATACACAGCAAAATCCCCCAGTGTTAAATTAACACTGCTCAGTGTTTATATGAGTCCACACTCAGAGAGTGTTAAATGAACACTGAAGCAGGGCTAAAGTTAATGAGATAATTAAGTGATTAATGGAATGATAATTGAACATTATCGAAGACACCTGATGTTAACAAGCGGAATCACTGAAGGAGAAAATCGTAATTGTTATGTTACCATTATGGAGATCAGTATTTGCTTTAGTTGGGCTGTTGACCCTTTAAGCTATTAACTCTA